ATCTTCCAGACATACATACTTACATTCACACACATACACACATATTATCATACACACATACAAACATACATACAAACTAAATACATACATACGCGCACAAGCATACATACATACATACGTACCTACACACAGGCACACATGATCAATGCATGCATACATGCATGCACGCGTACATACACACACATATATCGTGAAACTCACCGCGTGCTCGAAACTTGAGAGAGACCGCGGGAAGTCGAGAGAAGCCGCGGAACGAGGCCTCTACTACTACTACCACTACTACCACAACCACTACTACTACTACTACTACCACTACTACTACTACTACTACTACTACTACTGCTACTACTACTACTACTACTACTACTACTACTACTATACTACTACTAGTACTACAGGAGCGTTTCCCAACTAGTATGTGTGTGTGGGTGATGCTGTGTGCGCATGTCTGCGGCGCAGGTTAAGTGGTGTGACTGTGTGTGTGCGTTTGAGTGTGCGCCCATAATTTCTGCGTCTGGAGAATAACCCCGAGCGACCCGGATCGGCGGCACTGGCCGAAGGCCACTACAATACGTATCGTTGACGAGTCTAAGGTTCACACTGGCCCCCCTCCTCCTTCTCATCAATATCATCATCATCATCATCATCATCATCATCATCATCATCATCATCATCATCATCATCATCATCATCATCATCACATCATCATCAGCATCATCACCATCATCATCGTAATCAGCATCATCGTCATCATCAGCATCACCAGCACTTTAGCCATCATTACCACCCCCATTGCCCCGTCACCAACATCTGCATCATCTTCGAGCATCGTCGTCGCAATCGTTGTCGCCATCGTCGTCGTCGTCATCGGCATCGTCATCAGCCTCATAATCGCCCTCGTCATCTCCATCATCACTATCATCAGAAACAGCATTAGCATTGTGGCCATCGATCATCGGACATCGCCATCGGCTTCATCATCATCGTCAACATCATAATCATCACCTTCAACATCAGCATCATCATCACCTCCATCATCATCATCATCATCATCATCATCATCATCATCATCATCATCATCATCATCATCATCATCATCATCATCATCATCATCATCATCATCATTAACGACATTATCATCATGATCAGCGGCATCAGCATCAGCATCATCATCAGCATCATCATCAGCATCATCATCATCAACGTCATCACCCCCAATCGTTCATCTCACGGCTCTCCCGAGCATGGAACCACGATGTGTCACATGTGCCGGCCTCCCGTATCCCCTCGAACGGTCGCCACCCAGAAAGCTGGGCCGTGTTGTGGTCCCTTTGGTCTGTGCCGGGGCCACCGCGGGGTGATGGCCACTCGGGCCGTCTTGGGGCGCAGAGAGGCCCGAAAGGGTGGGAACTATCAGACCCTGCAGAAAGCTCGGCCGTCTTGGGGCCCTCTTGTCTTGTCTTGGGCCGTCTTGGAGCACAGGATGCCTGACCGCATGGGAACTGCACAATCCTTCAACAGCCTTAGTTGGGAGAATTAGTCACAGTTTTTGGCCTCTCAGGGGCCCTCTTTCGGCGGCGAGCGACGGGGGGAGGTGAGAAGGAGAAGGTCTTCTCAGAAGACGGCGGGACGTCTCAGAAGCCCTCGCGCCTTCTAGAACGATTTCTGTCTTCGGGGAAGATTTAGGGCACTTATCAGAAGGCTGCGGGGCTTCCGAGTCTTCTGAGAAGGCCCGCCCCTTCCCGCTTCCCCCCCCCCGAGAGCTCGCCGCCGACTCTCGGGGCCCATCCTCGATGGCTTCTCGTGGGTCCTCGGGAGCCGCTGGGGTCGCCTGCGGGACCTCGTGGACGTGCAAGGGGGCAGTTTGGCAGAATCGGTGCCATCGCGGAGAGGAGGAGGAGGAGGAGGAGGAGGAGGAGGAGGAGGAGGAGGAGGAGGAGGAGGAGGAGGAGGAGGAGGAGGAGGAGGAGGAGGAGGAGCTGCGGGAGTGTGAGGGGGGCGCTCAGGCAAATCAGAGGGAGCGCCCCCCGGGAGCCCCAGCCCCCCATGAAGGCCCGAGGTCCTTGGGAGAGCCCCTCCCAACCCCGTCGCCCGCAGTGGCCTCCCTCTCATCCTCCCGCATCCTCGCCCTGTTCGCCCCTGGATTCAAGTCGGGCCTGTTCCCCTACAGGGGGATGTTGAACGAAAAACGACACATACCCCAACACATACTCCAAGAATGCTCAAACATAGTAAACTAGTACCCAGACTATGTTTGACTATTTTTGAATACTCCCCCTGTAGAAAGACAGGCCCGACTTAACCCTGGATCCTCATCATCACGTCTCCCCCCTCCTCCATCCTCTACCTTTGCCGTTTTTGTTAACACAATGGCGAGTGTCCGTAGGGCGAATCACTTTCACCAATGAGATGCTGATGTGCGTGACGCGATCGAACACGCCATTCACAATCCGCATGATGTTGTAACTGGAGACGTATTGTGATGCTGCGTCGGATCAGAAGTCGGCTGTGCTATTTATGTGGCGATGTGCAGAAGATCGGCAAACACATTTGGTATTACGAGTTGCGAAGACTGTAACGAAACACAAACCTGTTACCAACATTATTACCAACCGACCGCCGCTTGCCGGGTGTGAAGGCGTGTGAGAGAATTGGCTGTCCCCTCTGCCCCTTTCCCCCTCCCCCAAATCCAAACATGTGTTTAAGGGGGGGTATCCGGGATCCCAAAGTGCACCCCCAGAGACTCCACAGACTCCGAACCTGCCTTCCATGGCCTCAAAGACGTTCCAGGACGGTCCCGAATCGCGGACCGATTGGCCCGAGACCCCCGAGAAGGCTAGAAGACGCATTCGAGGCGCCCCAAGAGCCTGCCTTCCCAAGAGGGCCCCGAGAGACATCAATCATTTGTTATCCTGAGGTTTTTCGTTGTTTCTTGGACTATCGTCTTATCGAGCTTCAGACGCTCCAAGACGGCCCAAGAATTCCCGTAGACCGCCCCAAAACTGCCCAAGAGGTCAGGGTTCAAAGACGGCCCAAAGAGGGGCCCAAGGCGGCCAAAGCTCGCCCTAAGAGGGCCCCAAAAGAGACGAAGAGGGAGAACACGATCCGGAAAGCACATCTTTCCGCACCAGGAGGCTCCCCAAGAAGGCCATGAGAAGCCCCCAAGCGGCCCAAACGTGCCCCCCAGTAAGCCCCAAGAGGCCCCCAAGAGGCCTCCAAGAGGCCCCAAGGCGGCCCCAAGCACGCTTCAAAACTGCCTCCAAGAGGCTCCGCCAGGCCCCCAAACAGCTTCCAAGACGCCCACAACAGTCCCCACAGAATGCCCAAGAAGCCCACGAGCCCTCAGCCGTGGACTCCATGCCTCCTCTGGGGGTCGGCGGAATGGCGCAAGCCTCTTGGATCCTCGCCGCAGCGCGCGCGAACCCTTCCCCGGGGCCGGCTTCTCATCCTGCATCTCTCCTTGACGGTCCCAAGGCCTGGAAACGGCTGTACATGCCAGCACCGACGTCCCTATTCTGTTTGACGACGCTCCGACGAGCTGACGCTGTCAATCCGCGACCCCAGAGCTCCCGAGCCCTTCCCCCGAAGCAATCTTCCACCCTGCATCAATGTTTGCTCGTCCTGGTGCCCGAAACCCGGAGGCCGAAACTGAGAGGAACAACGCCAGGATGGAGACAACACAGTGATTCGGAGGCTTGAATCGCAGAGGGGTGCCGCGCAGGGTTGAGGACCTGACTCGCGCTCATTTTCTCATCGGGCATATTCATTTTCACCTGCTGCCTTCGGCATCTGAATTAAGTGTTTTTCCCCAGAAAGATGCGTTATACATGGGCACTCGCATGCGACTCAGTGAACATGATTCAATACAACACAATGCCAGAACTTTAATTTGCTGGCGGCATCAACTTGCCCACATCTCACCCTGCAATCGTGGCAACATCATACAAGCATTTGGGACGTCCGATCTGGGTACAGAAAACACGATGCAATGCCCACCAAACGTGGTCAAAAACAACAGCGGCCGCTGTCGGGCAGGCGACGTTCTGTCTCAAACAGACAGCGTCCGCGGCAGCACTGGCATCGAGCCCTGCTCCACATGGGCAATAGCTGCTGTCGGCCTTCGTGCCCATTCTTTTCGTACCCATCTCGATCGCACGGCTCATGTACAGCCGGACCTAAGACGTCCGAATAGCATCCTTCAAGAAAAGGAGACCCTCCGCCACCCAAACTGAAGAACAGTCGAGGGTACACCCCCCCAGGCCACACAAGGACATCCGGCAAACACGAAGAACACTAGGATACCCTCCCCGAATCGACCTCGACCTTTTACCCCGGTCCGACCGTACCCGTCGGTCGGAAGAAGTTTATAGAAACATGAAGTAGGAAGGCGCTGGAAGTAGATTCGGCCTCCGCCCGCCCCCTGAAGAGGATGGAAGAGGTAAGTCCTCTCGACCCTTGACACAGAAGGCGCCTGAAATAGACTGGGACCCAAGAGTCCAAAACTACAAGTGGGGCGTTGACATACGGAACGATCATCAAGGAACGAGGCCCCATTTTTCCAATGAGTTGAACTTCGATTCCCCATCGAGAACCAAAGAAAAACCTAAGGCAGACTGGACAACAACTGAGGAACACGGAGCCCTTCCCAAACGAAAAAGGATCCTTCCTCAACGCCCCGACTGTACCTACTTCCAACGACCGATGTGTAATCTCGGGGAACTTCTGACCCGGGTCAATCCAGACCCAGGTCAGTCAGGCCTTTCAGAATCCTGCAAAATCCTGCACCCAAGCCCGGGCCAATGCGAAGGATCCTGCAAGATCCTGCAGGACCCTGCACCCAAACCCGGGTCAGTGCGACCCCGGCCTCTGCAGGATCCTGCAAGATCGGGCGCTCTGGCTGACCCCCGTTTGTATTGACCCCCGTCCCCAGGCTCCCGACGACGACGACGATGACAACGACGACGTGGGCGGATCCCCGGCGTGGGGGCGCGCCTCCACGCCGCGGAGTCGTGCTGCGCCGCCGCGGCGTCGGGCGCCGCCGCGCGGGCACCGCGCGAACCCCGGTGTCGGTGGTTCTGGAATGGCATTCCTGGGCGGCGGCGGGCGGGAAAACATGACGACGACGATGACGATGACGATGACGATGACGATGATGATGATGCTGATGCTGATGATGATGATGATGATGATGATGAGATGAGATGAGATGATGGTGATGATGATGATAGTGGTGGTGGTGGTGGTGGTGGTGATGGTGATCATCATCATCGCCATCATCATCATCATCATCATCATCATCATCATCAACATCACCATCGCCATCGCCATCATCATCACCACAACGACCACCACCACCACCATCATCATCATCATCAGCATCAGCATCAGCATCATCATCATCATCATCATCATCATCATCGTCATCATCATCATCATCATCATCATCATCATCATCATCATCATCATCGCCATCATCATCACCACCATCATCATCACCATCACCATCACCATCACCATCATCATCACCATCACCATCAACATTACCATCACCATCATCATCATCATCAGCATCATCATGAGCATCATCATCATCATCATCATCATCATCATCATCATCATCATCATCATCATCATACTCATCACCATCATCAACATCATCATTAACATCATCATTAGCATCATCATCACCATCATGATCAGCATCAGTAGCATCATCCCGCAGAACGTCCCAAGGGACGGGCCAGGGGACGCGCCAAGGGAAGTGCCATGGGGATGCACCGCGGGATGTGCCAAGAGGACGCGCCACGGAACGTGCCAGTGGACGTGCCACCGGACGTGCCAGGGGACGCGGCGCGCGACGTGCCAGGGGGACGCGCCACGGAACGTGCCAGGGGAAGCGCCAGGCGACGCGCCAAGGGACGTGCCAGGGGGCAGATCAGGGACCGTGCCACGGGACGCGGCACGTTCTCTGACGCTCCCAGGGCCACGATCCCTCGTAGATTACGCGGGGGTCGCGCTCCCAGTGCCAAGATCCCTCGTGAATTACACTGGATTCGCGCTCCCAGGGCGAATATCCTTTGTATATCACGCTGGGTTCAGGCTCCAAGGATCCTTTGTAAATTACGCTTCGTCCGCGCTCCCGATGTCAAGATCCCTCACAAATTACGCTGCGTCCGCGCTTACGATCCCTGGTAAATCACGCTGCGTCCGCTCTCCCTGGGCCACGATCCTTTGTAAACCACTCTACGTCCGCGCTCCCAGGGCTGCGCTCCCTCGTGAATTGCGCTGCGTCCGCGCTCCCAAGGCCACGCTCCCCAATAAATTACGCTGCGCTCGGGCTCCCAGAACCACCTGGGCATCTCGGGTCGGGCGAAAGGGGGGGATAGCAAAGGGGGGGTTTGAGAATCAGCTCACGTAGCTGATTTTCCCGGCGCCTCCCGGCGCCGGAGGCGCCCATGTATCGAGGAATGGGCCCCTCGGTCGGGCCGAAACCAGCTGCATGCAGCAAATTTCGTAACCCCCCCCTTCCCAATCCCCCCCTTTCGCCCGGCCCGAGCATCCTGGGGCGCCCAGGCCGTTCCAGTTCTGCAGAACAGGCGCTTCGCCCGAGACATCCTCCGATCTTCGGCGCGCCGGGCGCGCCATCCTTCGGGTCGGGCGAAAGGGGGGGATAGCAAAGGGGGGGATTGAGAATCAGCTCACGTAGCTGACTTTCCCCGCGCCTCCCGGCGCCGGAGGCGGCTATGTATCGAGGAATGGGCCCCTCGGCGAGGCAGAAACCAGCTGCATGCAGCAAATTTCGTACCCCCCCCTTTCCCAATCCCCTCCTTTCGCCCGGCCCGACCATCCTCCAGCGGGCTTGCAACAAGTTTACTCTTTTCTCATCTCTGACAAAGGTCAAGGCCTCCTGACCTCGTGTTATTGATTGCGGATTCTGCGCAGCACGCACCGCACCCAGTTTTTGTACGATGGAGAACGTGTGCCTGCGGACCCCGTTATCTGTCGAGGATCCGAGATATGGGGCATATTTTCCTCAGGCGGGCAAGCGCGAAACGCACTGCTTCCCCGCCGAAGTGGACTTTACCTCGTTCTTTATCTCGAGCGGCAATTCGCCGGTCCACTTCAGAATCCATGGCTGGGGGGGAAGCCTACTGAAAGAGAGAACCCTGGGCCCGAGCCCTTTCCGGGAAAAGTGGTCCTTAGCTCAACGCTGTGACTGTATGGGTGCATCCCCTCGGTGCTTCAAAGATGGGGTCCTGAGGGATGGGGTTATAAGGACGACCGATCCCCGCCTTGGACCCCGTGACTGCGTCGGGAATGCCCAGAGGCTCAGGGCGGCGGCGGCGGTGCGGCCGATCGGCCGGCGCGCGGTCCGAAGAAGCGCTCCGCCACATGGCACACCACGTGCGGCAGGTCGTCCAGCCTCTGCACCTCGAAGCGGAGAATCTGCGGCAGCGCCGGCGGCGCGTCGTCGTCGTCGTCGTCGTCGTCGTTGTGGTCGTCGTCGTGGTCGTCGTCGTCGTCGTCAACGGCGTCGGCGTCGGCGTCGGCGGCGTCATCGTCGGCGCTGGTCTCGCGTTGCAGAGTCGTGCGTTGGGTGGAAAACGGATCCTTGGGTGTGCGAAAGTCAAGGCACATTTATCTCCAGACGATCCCGACATCGGCGAGGAGGAAAGATTCCGCCGCCTCGGGAACGACGCTGCAGGCAGAACTGCTAAGCTGGGAACCGAGAGCCACCCGCGGCCGACCGACGAACAGGCGTCTGCAGCAGACTCGCATGTCAAAGTTGTCCAGTGTGTGTGTGTGTGTGTGTGTGTGTGTGTGTGTATGTGTGTGTGCAAGCTTGCCGCTGCACTCCTCCCTTTGGCCACCCACGGACCTTTTCAAGGCCGAGTGGTCACCTCCGCTGCCGCCCTCATCTCAAGTTGCCTCCGTTCCGCACCGTTGGGAGTGGATGGGGCCCCCAGATGGCGACCTGCGTTTTTGGATTTGTCAGAGGGGGTTCGAGAACGTCGCGCCATGACGCGGCCCATGTCCCCCGTCCTGGAGCTTGTTCTGCGTCCCTGAACGTACAAGTGCTCAGGGACATAGGCCACAGGTGTATCCTCTTGAACGCGAGTAACGGTTCATTTGTGGTGGTTTGTCTGAAGTGCAAGAAATACACCAGCGAAGCTCGTTTAGCCGAACTTGCCAAGCAATGCCCTGGCAGGACGAAAGGGAAATATAACCCAGACGCGTGGAACAGTATAGTCAAGGACCTCCATCTGACACGCTGAGCGTGCTTTTGGCATGCCGCGGGAGCCTACGTGCTCAACAACATGATCGACCCACGAACCCAGAAAGGAATTTAGACATGTAAGGCATGACAACATTTCAAAGACACCTGATTGGGCGACGGGTAAAAGAAACGCTGAATGTATAGGTATTGATGTACTGTGCCGAGGGCTGTGCTGTGCTACGCGGTGCTGAACTGCGATGTGCCATGCCGCGATTGTGCTCTATATAGCGTTGTTGATCGAGCCTCCCTGGCATCCGAGTCCTGACCGAACTGATCTGGTCTCGAACTGAGCAGATGGTAGCTGCCCCAGAACTCATCGACAGAGAGGACATGCCAGGAGGACGCGCCGCGGAATGTCCCAAGGGACGCGCCAGGCGACGTGCCAGGGGACGTGCCATGGGCAGGCACCGCGGGACGTGCCAAGGGGACGCGCTACGGAACGTGCCAATGGACGTGCCGCGGGACGTGCCAGGAGACGCGCCGCGCGACGTGCCAGGTGGACTCGCCACGGAACGCGCCAAGGAACGTGCTTAAATGCAATGTTGAGTGTATCGATCATCTTGATGTACCGTGCCGACGGCTGTGCTGTGCTGGGCCGTGCTGAACTGCCATGTGCCATGCCGCGATTGTGCTCTATATAGCGGTGTGGATCGAGTCCTCCCTGGCATCCGAGTCCTGACCGAACTGATCTGGATCTTAAGCTCGAGCTGCCTGAGCAGATGGTAGCTGCCCCAGAACTCATCGACAGTGGGACATGCCAGGAGGACGCGCCGCGGAACGTCCCAAGGGACGCGCCAGGCGACGTGCCAGGGGACGTGCCATGGGCACGCACCGCGGGACGTGCCAAGGGGACGCGCTACTGAAAGTGCCAATGGACGTGCACCGCGCGATATGCCAGGGGGACTCGCCACGGGACGCTCCGCGGAACGTGCCAGGCAACATGCCAGGCTGCAATGCGAAGGGTATCGATATTGATGTACCGTGCCGAGGGCTGTGCTGTGCCTGGGCGACCTGGACACGTGAAAACACTCGTTTCGCTCAAGACGTTCTCAACACATCCTCATGGTAGACATCCGGCTAGGCAACCTGGACACGTGCAAACAACCGTCTCGATCGAGACTTCCTCAACACATCCTCATGCTAGACATCCACCTGGGCGACCTGCACACGTGAAAACAAGCCTCTGGTTCGAGACATCCTCAACAAATCCTGGCGCTAGTCCTCTGCCTGGGCAACCTGGAGGCGTGAAACCAAGCGTCTCGTTCGAGACATCCTCAAGACCGGGGCACGTCAAAATAAGCATGTCACTTGAGAGATCCTCTGAATTCTGGTCCCCAGGAAAAAAACAATCCATAACACAAAACAAGCGCTTCGCTCGAGACATCCTCAACAAATTCTGGAAAACAAGCGTTTCGCTCGAGACATCCTCAAACATAAGTCCGCCGGCCGTACGCGACCTCTTGGGCGCCCGAGTTATCCGGGGTAACTCGGGTCCGGGGTAACTCGGGTTTGGATTCCCGGAAAACGAACCCGAGTTAGCCCTGACCCGAGTTACCCCTGATGATTCGGGGCTCTGAACATAAGTCCACCGGCCGTACGCGACCTCGTGATTCAGCGCAAATAATTCCGCCGGCCCTGCAGCCGTCGATCCCGGGGGTCAGCGGCTAAAAGAAAACCCTGGGCCCCCCGCCCTCTCCGGGAAAAATCCTCCATTTCCTCCTCCTCCTTTTCCTCCTCCTCCTCCTCCTCTTCTCCTCCTCCTCTTTTCCTCCTCCTCCTCCTCCTCTTTTCCTCCTCCTCCTTTTCCTCCTCCTCCTCCTCCTCCTCTTCTCCTCCTCCTCTTTTCCTCCTCCTCCTCCTCCTCCTTTTCCTCCTCCTCCTCCTTCCTCCTCCTCCTCCTTTTCCTCCTCCTCCTCCTCCTTTTCCTCCTCCTCCTCCTCTTCCTCCTCCTCCTCCTCCTCCTCCTTCCTCCTCCCCTCCGAGCAGCCGCGGCGGAGGGGCCGGGCCCGCAGAGATCCCGGGGGCGGGGGGGGGAGGAGGGGCGGCAGGGGCGCTCCTTCTCGATGAAGCCGTCCTGGGCCAGCATCCGCTGGCACTTGGGCCAGTCTCGCACCTGCGGGTGCCCGTCGGCCCACTCGAAGTTCCCCGAAACGATGGCTGCGGCGCTTCGGGGGCGGCCAAGAGGGGGGCGTCCAAGAGGGGGGGTGCGCAAATCATGGCCGGCGGCATGTGCGCGGCCCAGGGCTGTGGCCAAGGACGCAATGAAATTCGCCGGCCCAACGGGCCAGAGGCGTGCTAAGATCTCCGGTAACTGCTTAACAATTTTCTAGTTCGCGCGCGCGGGGCGGCCCCTGGGGGTCCCCGGACGAAAAGTACCCTGACCAGGTCCCTGGGCAACTCCCTGTCGGGGATGGTTCTGCTCCTGGGCGCTGCCCTCAGGGCCTCCCAAGAGCCCCGAGAAGAGCTCAGAGACCCCCAAGAGGCCTTCAATATGGTCCAACAGAGCTCCAAGACGCCATAATATCGCTCCAAAACGCCTAAGATGGCTCCCCGACGCACCAAGAAGCCTCCAAGAGCCCTGCCAAGAGGTCCCCAAGAGGCAAAAATCATCGATTTCCCTCAGGTTTTTGAAGGATTTTCGCATTCTCGCCTTTTCCGCTTCCCGACGCTCCAAGACGACCAAAGAGGCCCCAAAGATCGCCCCAAGACGGCCCAAAAGGCCCCCAAGAGGGCTTCAAAACGGCCCAAGAGCGCCCCAAGACAGCCCAAGACGCCCCCAAGACGGCCCAAGAGGGCCCCAAGAACGGCCCCAGAGGGGGAACACGAAACAACATTTCGAGCCCTCAGTCCTAAGAGCCTCCCGGGAGGCCCCCAGAGGTCCCCAAGAGGCCCCCATGGGCCCCCAAGAGCCCCTCAGAAGGCCCCGAAGAAGCCACCAAGAGTCCCCCAAGCGGCCCCAGGAACCCCCAAAGCGCCGCATTGACACCAGGCCCTCGGGCAAACGGCAGACGTGAGACTGTATGGGCCGGCGGAATGAGCGAAGCGATTAAATAAGAAGAGGCGCCATGAAATCTGGGGGGATATGATGGCCCCCGCCAAGATATCTCCCCCCCCTGGTCATCACCTCCCGCTTTGCCGCCCCCAAGCGTTGGTGGTAGGAGTCAGTGGGCAAAATGAGTCCGAAACCTCAGAGCAGGAGTCCAAAAATCCTCTACCAACCCCCGCTTCGGGATCCCAAGCGACGTTTCGTGGGACGGGTGTCGTGCCTGCACCCTGCACGGTGCGCATCACAAGCCAACCACCATGTAGATCACGAAAGGATGGTCATAGGCCTGTCAAGGTAGCTCCTAGGGAAACCAAAAGGTACCGATACCGCTACTCCTTGGACTCTTCTCCTGGGGTTCGTTCTGACCCAGATTTCAAGGCGAATCTAGCGGTGCCGACGAGGACCCCCCAGGAGGTCCAAAGAACTGGAAAACGAGGCAAGGGGCGGCGAGGGTGGCGGTATGGGTACCTTTGCCTCCTCTGAGCTCCTGGCTGCGCCGCCGGGAGCGGCGGCGCCACCGCTTCAATGCAAGACTGCGTGCCACCCTCCCGCGAGGGCCAGCCGCGGGCAACCGGAGGAGAGTCGTGGGAAGCGAGGCGCGGAAGCTCGAGCCAGGAGCGGTCACGCTCGCGACGCCCAACAGCTAGCCCGAAGGGACCAACCACCTGCGGAGACGCTATCCCGAGGCCAGGATTCCTTGCACATTTCGGCCGGGGTTGACTGGGGAGGAAACGCGAGAGGACACGTTTTACAAGCGCGAAGAAGCCCAGTGGCACGGGGGAGGCGGAGGAGGAGGAGGAGGAGGAACAGGAGGAGGAGGAGCAGGAGGAAGAGGAGGAGGAGAAGGAGGAGGAGAAACAGGAGGAGCAAAGGAGGAGGAGGAGGAGGAGCAGGAAAAGGAGGAGGAGGAGGAGGAGCAGGAGGAGGAAAAAAAACAGGAGGAAGAGGAGGAGGCGGCGGCGGAGGAGGAGGCGAAAAACGACCGAGGAATGACCGACCAACACCCAGTGCCGTCCAAGAACTCTAAACGGAGCCCGACTCTGACCCCACTCTCTGGGGCGGGGGCTCCACTGCGGCAGCCTCGCGCCTCGGCACCTCCTCGACCCTCTCGAGCTGGAAATTCACGCTCCAAGTGATGAGTCTGAATTGGAGAAGGCCCGCAGGAACAACATCCACCGCGGAACACGAAGACGCAGCCAGGGCAGCCCCGGGAACCCCTCAGGGACATGGGTGGCGGCCCTTCGAAATGCGATAATGTTTTGGGTGCCTTTCCTGGTCCTGAACCCCGAGCGTACTTCTGACAGATGGCGGCCGTCCATCGTGGCCGTGAAACCGCACTTCCTACACAACAGGAGGGACTGAGCCTGCCGTTGCCATATCTGGCGGCTGGGGCCCAAGCACTTCTCCCCCACCCACGGCTCTCCAACCGTCCGACACACCTGGGCCCAAGCCATTTTCGGAAACGAAAGGGAAGCAGAGGAAGTGGGGCATGGCCTGGCGCATGCCGCCACAAGGCTGGGGTCGGTGACCAGCTCGCCATAGTAGGTGCATCTCCACCCGCCCCCCCCCCGGAGCGACGGAAGTGGGGGGAGACCGTGAGCGCCCCAGCCCTGCGCAAAAGGCGGAGGCGGGGACAGGAGGAACAGCACTATTCGACCTCCCAGGGGTCCAGATTAGCGGTGCCGAGCAACGCTCGGGCCGCCCTTCGTCGGACAAGCTAGGCCTCGACATTCCGGCCTTGGGCGGTGGCGAGGTCCTAACTAATCACGCCGGGCTGCTAGTGACGCGAGGCTGTCAGCAGCCGCATTGCCCTGAGAGCGAAACGTCTGACTGATAGTTTGAATGGCCTGGCCCCATCCTCATCCTCGAGATGGGATTGGGGTCCAATGTGCTGAAACTGTGCTATCCCCTTCGATGGCAGCGGCATGGATCCTGACCTGCAGATCTTGAATCGCTTCCTTGGGGGCAGGCCTGCCCACCCTGCCAGCCTGCTAGCCCTCGAAAAAGAGCCAAGTGGTCAGAGATGTACAGGAGAGGCGCCGATGCGAGTTCCAAGGCAAGTCAAACAGAAAAAACTGGGCCCTGGGGACACTTTGACGGGGACCTGCCACATGCATCGACGCCCGACGAACAAAATTCCAAGGCAAGGGCCTCGCAAGGTCGGGCTCCAGTGGCAGGGCCAACTCCGCGTCTCCGACGTCTGGAGCCCTCGGAGAACTGCCTCCGGGAACACGCCGAAAACAGCGATGGCCACATGGAAAAGGGGGTCCGCGACCGCCGCCCACGGGCCCCTGTCTGAGAAGCAGGTAACCTCATACTCAGCAAACGACGGGATGACACGCTTCGCAGATGGGCCCCGCCAACCCAGCCAGGTTCAGCATCGGCATTGGCCAGGGCACGGGGGGGGTCATTTTTCTCATAGTCCGAATTTTCCGGGCGTGCCCGCGCCCGTGCTTGAGGGTCTCTGGGGCCAGCCAGCATTGACTGCGCGCGATGTCCGTGGCGCGCCCTTGCGCGCGTTGCCTGTCTCGGGTCTACTGCCCTGTCAGCGCAGACAGCGATGGCGGCGCCCCGAGCCCCCCATGTCCTGCTGCTTGAAGCACTTTGTAAAGTCGCGAGCAACTCGAATGAGATCAGCCCCTTCGTGGGGGCCATCCGCGCCTTCCTACCGAGATGCGCTGGATCAGGGGCGCCGTCGTAGATCCGAATCGGCAGCGCCGGGGAGGTCCGCCTTCTTGAAGTCTGGGGGGCCACTTTCAGGACAGTGCCACTCGATGCTGCCCTCTGGCACCGGGCGCATCCAACGCGTGGGGCAGCTCCATCCTCCTTCGACTAAGGTCGCCACGAGTGACGACGTAGTGCCTTTGACTCTCCGCCACCTTCTATTGTCCTTGACCTGGCTGCACTGCCGTATCGTAGACTACGCCACGCGAGCGGCTACGCGTAGTTTTGGATGCTGGAACCAGACAGTAAGCCATTCCCAGACCAGCTGACGAGGGAATTCCAAAGCTGGGTCCTTACATGGCATCGTTGTTTCCAATGCCGTGGTGGGGCGATTGCCTCGCTTCGCACCAGAAACAGAGGTGGAGGCCTCTCGACTGACGTGAAGAAATCGACTGGGGGACGGCCCGAAAACCCGGCGAGCGCGGGGGCCCTGCAGCTGCGCGCAAGCCGCCCGCAAAGAATCGCAGACTTCGCGGGCCGTGGGGCCCGGGCGCCCCAAGCGAAGCACTCTGCCTTGCCGGCGCCGGGCTGCTTGATGTCGTTGTCGCGACCGCCTTGCGCGCGCGAGACCTCCCTGCTGCCGCGTCAATGCCAAAGTCTGTCGAAGGCAACTCTAACTTGACTGGCGCGATCATGGCATGGGGCATCTTCGCGCAAGATGTCCCAACATCTTGAAGGCCACATCGAAATTGTGTTGCCAGGAACCACATATCTGCTCTCTTGAAACGATTTTTTCGAATCGTTAGCTGTGATCCGCATCGCGCCGACCACCTGCTCACCACCTTTCGCTTCCGCTCCAAGACCCGCGTCGTCGATGCATGTCGCCGACGTCGCCTCAAGAGCAACTCGGTGGACTCGGTGCACACACCTTCGTAAGCTGCACTCCCCGCGGGCCGCCTGCCAAAGTCGACCTGGCGACCTGGGTGGCGTCGCCCATCCAGCTCGAGTTCCAGGCGGCCGCGTGTACCTTCGCCTCCACCAGCACAATCGCCGAAGGGCATCCTACCGAGTGAGCCGCTTCCATGAGCAGACGCCAGAGACGCCATCATACCATGTATCAGATTAAACAATAGCGCTATGCAATGCCCGCTATTGACGACGCTGGCTTAATCGCAGAGCGCGCGCGCTGGGGCGGCCCGCGAAGCTGACGAGCCTTCAAGCTCTGCACCCCAGAAGGCACTGGGCCCGCGCGGGCTCGGCCCCAAATTTCCCCCATGGTGGGCAACGACCCGAACGATCGATCCCCCCCGCGAGGTCTAGCCGCAAGAGCACCATTGGTCGCGTGGATTTGTCTCGGCCACGGCCCTGCATGCTCCGCCCGATTGAGGAGATCCGCGAATGCTCGCCTGCCTTGCGTGGGGGCGCGCGATGTCATCGACGCTCAAATGGCCGGCTCCCTCGGTCATCCCGGCGGACATGCGACCCGGAGCCCCGTCGACATCATCTGCGGCGAGAACGCGGAGGGCACCGCGCCGAGCGCGAGCACGGCGCCATTGAATCGCCAAACCAATACCCTTTTCCAAGTGTCAGTCTGGCCCGTCCAAACTCCAGCCCAGCGTGCAGTGCGCGATCGCGCGACGCATTCGGGGCCCGCTGATTCTTCGACTTGCGCGCCTGGAGGGGCGCGCATGTGAAGTATCCCAGCGGCAGTGGCCCATGCCTGGTTGATGAATGTAAGGGAATGCTGCTGGCCACTGAGATGGTTCGATCCTGACATCTCGCGCTGAGGCGCCAAGAAAGATGCAGAGCGTGATCGAAAGAGCCCGCGGGGGTAGCGGAGCAAGGATGCCCGGCATCGCCAATGCCATTTGGCTCTCCTCCTGGTTGGGGCCGCGAAGCCGCGGGGTCATGCCCTGCTTCCTCCTCGCATATATCGACGCCCCAATCTCCGCCCCTGGCCGCGCACTTCCGCTGCGACGAGAGTCCCCTTGCGACGAGAACGCGAGCGCGACCCCTGCCGCGCGCGAGGCCGAAGTCGATGCCGAGCGCGCAAATGGAATTAGCGCGGCTCTACTATGCCGACCCTCCAGCGATTCCCCGATCCTGGAGGCCGCCTCGCGGTCTCCTGCCCCGCGCGGGCGCGCCGTCTCCAGCGGTCTCTTCCCGCTCCTCCCAATGCGGATCTCTCGAGGCGCTGCGGGGCGATGAGGGATTCCTCTATCTCAAGGCCGGCGAATGCAACGCCCGAGGTCGCGGTGGCCGCCGCGGAAGTCGGAACCGACGTAGTAGCCGTAATCGATGCCGCGGGCGCGATCTGAGCGCGCGCGGCGGTGCTCTGCCATCCCCCGAACGATTCCACAACCCTGGGGGCTGCCCGTGCATGGGGCGGCGCCATCATTTTCGGCGAAGACTTTGAACCGAAAGTGCATGCCGCAATGCGGGGGGGGGGGGGGGGGGGGGGGGCATGGGGCATCCAAGACTGCCGCGGAGATCAGCCGACCTTGGAAACAATACCTGGCCAAGACATGCTCGTAGAGACCGCCCTCCGATTCTTGCGGGCAAGTGACCTCGGCGCTGTCTGGCGCGAGAACTTTTGCCTGTAGCTGGCTAGCCCCACTGAGTTGTGACGAGGGCTTTGGGCCGCATATTTCCACCGCCGAGGATGGCCCAGGGGCCCCTGGGAGAATGCGCGCGAGCAAATAGAGCACGACACCACCACTAGGAGGCAAGCCAATGCACATTTGACCCGCTTGCAATAATGGAGATGCAAAACCAAGCGGGGGAGCCCCCGAACAAGGGCCCCCCTCCCTTTTGTCGAGCAGCTTCTTGGAGATGATCCGAAGGTGTCGCGGCAACATGAGAGCGAGCCAGGACGCCTTCTCCAGCCGAGAACCCGGAATTATTGCAGAAAGCTGGCTTGGCATATGGCATATAACCTCCAACCGTCCTTGGCTAGAAGTTGACGTGCGTGTGAAATTCGCGTTGCGTCAACACGTGTTTGCGAGAGCGCGACGACCTTCGTGGCGGTCTCGTTTATATGGCACAGATAGCGGCCGTCTGCGGGCCCCATTGTATGATGCTGCCGAAGAAGATGAACTCGTCAAAGAATTGGTTTGTCCGCGGTACCTCCGTCTTTGCTATTGGCAGGGGCGCCACTAAGAGTAGAGCTGCCAGCCGAAAGGACCCAGTCACCGAGCGAAGACCTTCTTTGGCTGCCTCCAAAAACGTGTCCTGCCACTGTCGGCCAACTGGGCAGCCTGGATGGAAGCCTCCTTGGTGGCTTTGATGGCTGCCACTTTTCCGCTCATCAGACAGGGTGCCTGACGCTGAGGAAGATGCGGCACCATCGGAGATGCCCTCCGCAGCAAGCTCCTCGGGCATGGGTGTCGTGTGTTCACCAGTTGGTACTACTTCTCCTGTCTGTCCCGTGCGCTTTTTGGAAGCTGGGGCATCCGCTGCTTCCTTGATGTCAGCAAGGAATTTCTCGGCACCCTCTTGTCCCGAAAACAACCCTTAACGGTGTCGTTCGAGCGTATTCTGTCACTGTCGGTTATCTTTCTAGACCGGACCGACTCCCCATACTGGTAAATCTCTGTGAAATGGCCTCGCCAACTGCGAATACCTCCCTGCCGTCCACAGTCGCGCCAGGGTTCCTCATGCCCCGACTCGGCGCGTTTACGAAGTGTTGCCTGGCAGCAGTTGGTTGGACAACTTGGTGAGTTTTTTTGATTAACGCATGGCCTCAGTGTGGGCGGCGCCCATCCGTTGAGGAAGAGGGGGAAGAGGAGGAGGAGGAGGAGGAGGAGGAGGAGAAGGAGGAGGAGGAGGAAGAGGATGAGGAGGAAGAGGAGGAGGAGGAGAAGGAGGAGGTGGAGCAGGAGGAGGAG